GAATGTAGGCATATTTTTCTTTAAAAAGGTGACTTATTTTCATTAGAGTGACCTTCTAAGTATCGTACATATGCTTGTTTCTCAGATTACCTGATTAATTTAACCAGGGAGTAAAGAAGGGTGTATGTATGTATGTGTGTGCATGTGGAAGAGTGGAATAGGTAAAAGTTTTGTTCTCGAATAAATGACAGCTGAGTTCCACTCTCACCTCTGTCAAATGAATTTAACCTATGCACTTTTATTCACAAAACCCAGACAACACACATCACAAGTTTGATTCATTATCTCAAGGACATATCCATCATTGTTAACGTCAACATACGGTGAAAATCAATAATAATATTTAACATGCTGAGAATGATTCACAAGATTAGAAAAATACTGATTACCAATCTATTTATGAATGAATAAAGAGATTTATTAAAAAACATACGGATCGACATTAATATTAGTCACATTTTTTTTTTTGATTTACAGCTTGATTCCACACCGTATTTTCAGTACAAGTATGGAATTTTCAGCATGGATATCGGTAGCCCAAATTCAGGCCGACCATAGATATCGGGTGTCCGCCGGCAGGGGATCGAACCCCGGACCATGTGCATGGTCGGCGAGAGTCCTAACCACTGTGCCACCGACGCACAAAGGATCGTAGGGATGAATTTGAATGTAGAACTATGTCAACTGAGTACTACTTGAGAATCTGAGAATTTTGGTTTAATAATAACTATTTAGTTAAAGCTATTAGCATTAAATAGCGAAACATCAATAAAGACAGTATCGTTTTAGTTACAGGATTTCATCATGAGCTGACAACGATCAAAGAACCTCGTCAACTGAATACTCTACACACACGGATTTATATACTTTGAAATTACATTGGGAGATATAGGACTGATGAGTAAACAAACTGCATTGAATTAGTCATGCAGAAAGACAGGTGCGAATGTTTTCCAGGTCATGTTTAAATAGATAAGGGGAGAGAGAGTATGGGAGATCGAAATTAAGATAAATTGCATTACGCTTCAATTACATCACTTAGATAAACAATTAGACATCAGAGAATATAACAAGAATTGTAAAGAGTAATAACAATAGTAATAGTTAAAATAATAATAGTGTTGAAGTGAGTTAAGATAATGCTACTGATAAAGGATAGTTTTAAATGAATCAAGAATAATAATAATAATAAGAGGGAGAATAATAAGTAAAACGTATTACCATGGTAGATTCAGAGTCACGACCATCTCCTTTTGTACACAGAGACCTGGTTTATGAACTCGAATTGCACAAGCCTCTGCAATTGCGAGCATCTTCTTGTTTCTTTGTCTGCTGACAATGGTGAATGACTTGACCGCGTCGATATCATGTCCGTTATTGTTATTATAACTATTACTACTGATATTACTCTGCTTGCAATTCTTGTTATATTCTCCAATGTCTTATTGTTTATCTAAGTGATGTACTTGAAGCGTAATGCAATTTATCTTAATTTTGATGCTTCACCGATGCCTGGGTGACTGACTAGCAGTGGAATCCAGGATGCGCATTTCGTCATATTTGGGACTCGTCAACTGGATGTGCCTGCATTCAGCAGTGAGTGTGATGGTGTTCCCACCAAGGCTCGAACCTAGTACCCATAATTTAAAACGTCATCATCAATCGACGGGAAAATCTAAAATTAAATTCAATAATTAATATGACCCGTTGCACAAGAGGTGGCTCAAGTGGTCTAGTGGATAACGGTCTGGCGTTTGGACATTGGGTACGAGCCCCGGTGGGAACAATATCACTCACTCACTGTGAAATGCAGGTACATCCAGATGAAGATTCCCACTGCTAGTCACCACTCACCATTATTATTATTGTTCGCTCTCTCCGCCTTGAATGTTTATTGCAATTTTCCATATTTCCGGTGTATTGGCGTTGCGTCATCTCAACTGCATGTGTTTTTTAGGTGTTGATTCGATGAACAAAGATTCAGTGATTATCCTCTCTATCTATCTATCTATCTATCTCCACCTAAGTATATTAATTTTTAATACTTTCATCGCCCTATCCCACCCTATCGTATGATTATACGTATGTGAATGCATTAGCGATGGTTGAGCTTGTTTCCAGATTATTTTACTCACACACACACACACAAACAAACAAGATTTGTCGGCTTAAGAACCCGATAGATTGAATTCGGAAAGGAAATAACATAATTTACTAAATACCATGCAATGACTGTGAACATAGGAATTCACCTCTAGAGGCTAGAATTATTCACATTACTAAGATATAAGTAATCTTCAAAAGAACCTCACTCAGCCATTGGCTAATGCATTCATCACTTGCATGTAATCATACAATAACCTGGGATAGGATGAAAGTATCAAGGGGTAATATAGTTAGGTGTAGAGAAAGAGACTGAGAGAGAGAGAATCTTTGTTCATCGGAATCAACACCTAAAAAAACACGTGCGCAATCGAAATGACGCAACGCCAATATATACTGGAAAATATGGAAAATTGCAATAAACAACAAAAGGGGGGAGAGAGAGAGCAAAACAGCACATAAAGGAAATTACTGAAGCCTTATGAATACACTGATATGATTGTGAGCGATAAATTGTTTCCTAACACGTCATCCAGTTGTTAATATTGTATCGAATATGGAATTATATTCCATGATAGTGCCTAGATTCTATTCTTACAAGTTTTTCTTGTTTAGGTTCAACTGAGCAGTTCGATTTGGAGGGGAGTGGGTTACTTTGGGAAGTTATTTTACGGTATTGATGCATCCCTTAATGACCTTTTTATTTTAGCATTATGTGTCTTTTATTCTACAATTTCAATGGCTTTAATGTGTGTTGGGATTTTGTTGTACCACAGAGTACAGCGAAAGAGAGATCTACGAATCTACGGAATAGACGTCATATCTGGACTGCTATCGATCAAAGGAGGTGTGCACTGCTCAGCAGTTTGCTCCCTCCTCCTTTATGACTGTGAGACGTGATCACTGAAAGTGGAAGACATGGAAAGGCTAGTTATCTTTGACCATAGGTGTCTCAGTTGTATATCTCATGCAAGGTTATATAATATAGTGAGGAATACTTAAAGCCAGGCGACGAGTGGTAGGTGAGGAGGGAAAAATCAAACGATAAGGTTGTGAAGCTAAATCCCTAGCCATCGCCTTCCTCGACGAGCAATGTTAGCTGACACAGGATCAAGTTGGAAAAGAGATAGCGATGATCAAACCATGATATGGAATCAGTCGGTTCATAAAGTCTTTAATAGTTAATTTGAGCCAGTCACTTGGGGAGTTGTAGACTGGTTGTAGTCCTCAGGATTCTAAAAATCAACAATTCGAGACAACTCGTGATACTGCTCAAAATCGTTCTCAGTGGCACAGCGGCATTCACTCTCTGTGATCTGACATATCCATTAAACCCTATCGCTTTTCCGTGTAACTATTTTTCCTCCCTGACATTTCTGCTTATTCCTGTTCTTTCGAATCTCTTTTCCTCTCCTCTCTTATCTTCCTTTGTATGTGGTACATGAGTTGTAGCAGGTCAAAAATCTGTACTTCTGTGGAAACCAGTCAGTCAGACTTCATTATAATAAAGAAAGAAAAAATATCAAAAATTCACTGGATCAATAACCACAAGCAGAACCTGATAATATCTCTTCCGAATAGAATTCGCAGAATATGCAGCACCGAATCAGTAGAAGAAGAGATGACTCTTTTGGTGAAGACACTACACTTGAGAATGGCTATCCACCACGCTTTTTATAGATAAAAGCATAAGGCTGAAAATCAATAAAGACCAACCCATCTCAGTGCCGAAGAAGATTCTGTACATGAATGTGGCGTTAAAAGGCGACCTTCTAGCCGACAACATCTTAAAGAGAAGAATATCTAATGCCACGAAAAGAACATTCCCTGCTGATACATTACGACTAGCATTATTAAACCGCCCAGTGTTCTTCAACAACTCTAAAGATAAACTATCGCATTTGACCACTTCTGTGTGTATCTACGAATTTACTGGCTCATGTGGAGAGAGATATATAGGTCGTTCGATGCGTGTTTTATCACCTTGGCTAAGAGAAGGTAACAATGGATCAATAAAGAGTGCTATAAATGAACACATAGTCAACACCGGTCACTCAATATGTACGGATAATTCATTCAAACTCATATACAAGGTTAAAAGAAGCCTCCTGAAAACGGTAAACTTTCGTATACTTTACATTGCCGAAGCCTTAGCCATCCGGATAGAAAAGCCTGATTTATGCACGCTGAGGAAACTTCTCCAACCCTTCCTTCTACCTTGGGAATAATTCTAAGTTCTACAACTTTGTCAATAATGTTTTGTTTTCTTTTTTTAAATTTTGTATGGCATCTTAGTAACATCTTCTTCATTTAACATCTTATTTCATATTAAGCGACCCTTGTCAATACTTACCAATCTTCACCCCCCCCCTAGTTACAATTCTGATGACGTAAACAGTAACTCTAACTAATCTTCATTTTATTTTTGTTTGACAATCCTAATGCACACACATACATACAAAAATATGAATATATGTATAAATGCGATTGTACAGCTAAGTGTGAATGAATTCGCCGCCGAAAAGAGACTCTTCGCTGAACTTTGTTGTGTTTCATATTCATGTCTGGATGCGTATTTTCCGTTAAAAATAAATTTTACTTAACCCTATAAATAGAAATGAATGACCACTGAACAAATATCCTACTGTTTGTTCCCGAAACTAGCCTCTAATACCATACCGTGAGATGCATGCTGGACAAAGCCTATCCTATCCATCTCTATACATAAATGTTAATGAGCACAGAGTTTAAGTTGAAACAACCAATAAAATAAAGGTATGCAATAAATTACTGTCTGCAGCAGCAGCATGCTAAACAACAAAGTGCGATTTTGAAAAAAAAATAATAATAATACTTTACACAAATGAAATTTGAAGGCCCACATAAAAGCAACCTACCTTATCAGATGTAGAAGAATTTGAACTAGTACTATCCTGCGATCCTTGAGATACAACAGGATCAGTTACTTTTCGTAACATGTCTTTACTGACACTGAAATCAAAATGCCGAAGAATAAAATAAAGTAAGTACACAATGAAACAAAAGGCATGCGCATATATCTACTGGGGAAATAACGCTATACTACTGTGCCCCGTGTACTACTGACAAGATTTATCAGTAGTATATATAAACGCAGATTCATGAAAAGAAGTAGCCAAAACTGAAAACAACATTTTAAGTCAACGACTGGCTGCAGAGGTAGAGATGTTTTTTTCCTCAAATCCCGATTTAGTTTATACTGTGGTCAGGAAATAAACTCACTGGACAACTTTTCGCCCCAAGGTTAACCTTCGGAAAATAGACAACTAATCAGAACAGTAGTTTATTATCCGCTGACCTTTATTGTGGCTAAAAATGTATAAATATGGTGTGTTTTTCCAGAACAGATAAGTCTGTTACCAAGTTCCCCCGCCTTCTCCCGTTACAATACCAATCAAAGTGAATCATGAGGATGATTTATGTCTCAAAGATTCACGGGCGAAAACCAACAAGTTGGTAGAGGAGGCGACAAAGAGGCAAGACCTTCAGGTGAATACGTACGTAGTGAAGACAGAGGTGATTATTACAATATTATTGTTTCCTTTAATTCCTAGAGGAGCATAGGGCTTCAGCCACACGTCTCCATTGCGTTCGGTTCTCTGACAACGTTTTCACCTGGCTCCACGTCTGCCCACAACACGCTTTCATCTCCTCTTCACATCACCTCCTCCTCCAAGTCACCCTCACACTGACGACCAACTCGCCGCTTCCCTTTTGGGTTTCACTCGAGGGCTTGTCTAGTGATGTCAATTGATGGTTTGTTTTCTCAGAGTATGGCCAATCGAATTCCATTTCTTCCTGCATATTTGTTGCACAATCGGTTCCTGTGGGTTGGTTCGCTCCCACAGATCCCTGCTGCTGATTTGTTCTGGTCAGCCATCTGGTCTTGAATATTGAGTGAAGACAGCTGTTGATAAAAGTCTACAGTTTGTTTGAGATGCTCTTCATGAAGACAGAAGTGATGAAGCTACCAAACCAACAACAACAGCACTATCAACAGAAGAAGTATTTGGCCTTTCACTTCCCTGAATTGAGCGCACCATTTGTTTTAACTACAGACAGCACCACTGGTGACGAGGAGGATATGTCAAAGCCAAACACAATCGAAAAAGCAAGAGAGGAGTTTAATTGCTCTGAAATCAGTTCAGGAATTACAAAAACACTAAGCATAAGAAACAAAGATTTGAATTTCTATAATACTCATGTCTAGTCAATCTTTCTATATAAAATTCAGATACTTGACACACTCGTGTCATTGAAAGCATTGCCAATAGGCCACTGTAAACTTTTATCAATCAGCTATAGCTGGCTTCTGGTTGATATTAAAGTTCAGATGACCGGAAAGGATGAACAACAAACAACTCTAGGGCAGATAGTCAACAACCTGTTATGTTACTCAACAAATAGGCTGAAACAAATTGACGTGGATTGGACACGTCATACTCTGAGTAGACTTTCACATCAAGTGAGCAGTTGGCAATGGGGGAGACACGTTACTACACCTTTGTTATAAGACAAAAGGACTGGGCGTAAAAATCTTTACTTTTCAATTAGATCCTCATATCCCTGACTCTACTCTAATATCCATATGGCATTTTTAATGCAATACAAGAAAATGTTTTAATTGATTAAAGATGACCGTTCTAAATTTCAAAAGATAGATTACTGCTGAAAGAAGAATATCCTTTTCGATAACCTGCTCTTCTTCATCAGGTTCTACGGTCATCCATCCATAATAATAACAGAATGATTGGTATTGACAACATCAGTGGTTTTTAAAAAAGAGTAACATCGAATCATTAATATCAAAATTCCAAAAGTTATTTGCTGATGTTAATTTGTGGATGGTGACTGGCAGTGGAATCTAGTAGGATGCGCATTTCGTCCTATTTGGGACTCGTCATCTGGTGTGCCTGAATTTCCCAGTGAGTGATGATCTTCCCACTCCCACTGAGGCTCGAACCCAGTGGGAATACCATCATTCACTGAGGAATGCAGGTACATCCAGCTGGCGGACGAGTCCCAAATAGGACGAAATGCGCATCCTACTAGATTCCACTGCCAGTTACCATCCACAAATTAAATTCTAATTTTACTCCATAGACATCGTCGAAGCATCTGCACAAGAAGCCGACAGACATGTCAACCTGAGACCGAGCACTTCGGTCCAATCAATCGATGGGAAAATCTAAAATTCAATTATTTGCTGACAGATAGTTAATAGATTATTATAGTTCAAGTTATATGTGTATGTGGTAATTAGGAATGACGACGAATGTATAGTAATGTATTCTCATGAGTCATGTTCGTATTAAACTCTTCATATTCATTACGACAATGCTGCATGCCAAGTAATCCACAACGGGAAACTTACGGAATCCTTCGAAGTGAGGACAAGAGTAAGACAAGGCTGCCTACTATCATCAATGATTTTCCTGATTGCAGTAGATTGGATAATGCGACAAACAGCGGAGGGCAGCGAGGATACAGGCATAAAATGGACCCAGACAGAAAACTTGGAGGATCTGGACTTCGCCGATGATATATGTCTGATTTCCCACAAACTGGAAGATATGCAAGCGAAAAGCAACAAGTTGACAGAAGAAGCATCCAGAGAAGATAGGACTTCCTTCAGGTGAACATAGAGAAAACAGAGGTGATGAAGATTCCTGGGCAACACCACCAACAGCAACAACAACAACAGACAACAATCAGCATAAATGAGAGGAACCTGAAAGAAACAACCTCTTTCACCTACCGACCAGGAAGCATCGTTTCAACTACAGGCGAACGGAACTGACGAGGATATCAAAGTAAGAATCGGAAAAGCAACACAAGCTTTCACTACTCTCAAGTCTGTGTGGAGGTCAACAGCACTTAGCATCAAAAATAAGATATGGATTTTCAACTCCAATGTGAATTCAGTCAGTGCTACCATACGGATCAGAGATTTGCACTGCGCGTCATAAAGAGCATCTCAAACAAACTACAGACCTTCATTAACAGTTGTCTTCGCTCATTACTACTCAAGATCAGATGGCCGGTCGGAAAAGATCAGCAACAGAGATCGCTGGCAATGAGCGAACCAACCAGGAAGCGATTGTGAAACAAATAGGCAGGGAGAAATGGAGATGGATTGGCCAAACTCTGAGGAAACCATCAAGTGACATCACTAGACAAGCCATCGCTCGAGTGAAACCCGAAAGGGAAGTGGCGGCGAGTTGGTCGTCAGTGTAAGGGTGGGTGACTTGGAGGAGGTCATGTGAAGAGATGAGAGCATGTGGGCAGACTTGGAGCCAGGTTAGGACTCTAGCAGAGAATCTAACGCACGGCTGAAGCCCTATGTTCCTCTAGGAATTAAAGGATGCAATAATAATAATATTCATTATGAACTTCAGATGGATGAATGATATATATGTCCAAACTAAGTTCACTTTTAACAGTTTGAAAGAATTTGGGCATTGGATATTTGATTATACTAAAGGTTTTTGTATTCCCAATGAATGAAAAACAAAACGATATCGTTTTGTTATTAATGGATGTTATAATGGATGAATGATAATCTCAAGGACGAGGATAGAGAAACAAGATTCCTGGGTTAACATTTTGTGTTCGTTGTGTGTGTGTGTGTGTGTCAGTGTGAATTTGCAAACTCTACAGCAGGCCAGGGCAGGGTAGTACTAGTGATTGATTGGACCTGTTTCCACTGCACACAGAGCACCGGTTATTTTAGGCGAATTGTAATGGCCTCTGATGTTTGGAGCATTCCGTAACTGGATACTTTTGGCAATTTATCTGGTACCTGATAGATGATAGAAAAGGATTTTTCAATCCTGGCTGGGTTTGTGGCCATTTTGGGCCAGGTGGTCTAATATCGAACTGTTGATCCTTCTAACTACACCTTTATTTAACGACACTGGTAGGAAAAATCAAGCAACAGGCAATATAACTCACTCCACCACAACAGCAGTTGAATTGGTAGATACAATCAAGTGTGAATACATGAAATAATAATAATAATAGTATGAAATGCAATTAAAATATTTGTGATTATAATCATAGTTTAATGTCAAGTAGCAAAACAATTAATGTCATATATAGAATAATACATAAGGTGTATAGATGCTGGAAAGGGGTGCATAATTGTAGGATTAGTAGGCGAATATAAAATGATGCATAACATGGCGTGAAATTTGATAAGATAGAATTCAATATTGTAAAAATAAAATATAATAATTTAGAATTTAGAATGACAAGCGGAATCAGAATAATAATAATAATCGCAGTAATAAGGGAAAGGTACATAGAATAACTAAATAAACAACAACAAAAATTTCCCTCTACGGCTAGGGCTGAAGTAGGGATTGTACATACTTCTTTTGTACACAAAGATGTCTGGCTTAAAGTCATGAATTGCCAAGGCCTCAGCTGTGCATTTATCAGTTCACCTGCTCTTGTGGAGCAAGGTACATTGGTCGTAATCAGAGGACGCTGTCCACACGGATACGAGAACATATTCCAGTGACATGGTTATACAAGGGAGAAAGGAATTGTGTGTAAAGCTCTATTCTAGAACACCTGATCGACTTCTGTCACTCTGTCAACCATGACCATGATTTCAAGATAATATATAGAATTCATGCTGACTTCCCGCGTTGCCTTCGTTACAGACTTCTAGAAGCCGCTGAGGCCTTGGCAATTCATGACTTTAAGCCAGACCTTTGTGTACAAAAGAAGTATGTACAATCCTTACTTCTGCCTTGACCGTAGAGGGATAGACATTTATTTATTTATTTTGTTTATTTAGTTATTCTATGTACTTTTCCCTTATTACTACGATTATTATTATTATCATTATTATTATTACAAATTCTCACTCTGAATCTTTTCCTTTTGACCAACTTGACATTTTAAACCCAAAATTACTAATTTACATATTTTTATTTCTTACA